CAGATATTGACTCACTCGTGGGCCTGCCAGGCCTTGGGCAGGGAGGTTCAGGTGCTGAGACAGAAGACAGCCCCTGCCTCCCTGGAATGCACACAGATACCAGCTACAATACCACGTGCTATAGATAGGCTGGCAGGATGGACAAAGGGACTGCAAGGGAACAGTCTGTTATGCAAGAGAAGAAAGGCTCAAAGAAAGTGCCACAGGCATGACATTGGCACCGGCACTCTGCAAAAGGGTGAGGGTTCCGGAAAGCCTTCTCTAAAATGAAATTGAGATTGGCAATCCCACAGGTATCCATCTAGTTATTGTCCCAGAAGGGGGCCATTTACTTTTTTTGGGGGGGGGGGGTCACTGCTTCCACCATTTGTCCATGTTTTCTTTCAAAACCTCCAAGTGAGCCTTGGCCGGTTTGGCTCAGCGGTTAGAGTGTCGGCCTGAGGTCCAGAGAGACCCGGGTTCGGTTCCCGCTAAGGGCACGTACCTCGGTTGCAGTTTGTCCCCGTCCCTGGTTGGTCCAAAACCTCCAAGTGACCCTGGCCAGTTTTGCTCAGCGGTTGGAGCATCCGCCCACTGACTGGAGAGTCCCGGGTTCGGTTCCCGCTAAGGGCACATACCTCGATTGCAGTTTGTCCCTGGCTCCAGTTGGGGTCGTGTGGGTGGCAACCACTCAATGTGTCTCTCTCACATCGATATTTCTCTCTCTCTCTCTTCCCTCCTCTCTCCCTCCCACTCTATCTGAAGATAAATGCAAAAATGTCCTCGGGTGAGGATAAAACAAAACAAAAAACCCAAGTAGCCCAGCCGGTGTGGCTCAGTGGTTGAGCGTTGACTCATGCACCAAGAGGTTGCCCGCCGGTTCAATTCCTGGTCAGGACACATGCCAAGGTTGTGGGCCTGATCCCCAGTGGGGGGGATGCAGGAGGCGGCCAGTTGATGTTCCCTCTCATCGATGTTTCTATCTCTCTCTCCTTCTCACTTCCACTTTCTCTAAGATCAATAAAGGGGAAAAAAAAAACCCCAAGTGATAGCACCAATTCTTTCAAAGTTGCCTCTGCGTTTCTCAGTCAAAAGGGTGAAGATGGAGAAAGGAATTCCTATAAGATGTTTATACCACTTTCTTTTCCACCTTGGGTCCTGTTAAACTGCCTTATATGATTGGAGGAGGGGGCTGGCGGCAGGGGCAATGTGGTTGGTTCCCAAGCCACAGGCACATGCTCTTGTGTACCATTTGTACCCTGGCATTTGTCCTGGGCTGGGGCAATCCCAGAGGGGAAATGTTTTCTTTTCCCTGTGATCCAGCTGAACCCGCTCTTTCCAAGCCTGAGCCCCACAGCTCCCGTCAGCCTCATCCTCACGTTGGGGGTGAGACACGGCAGACTCACTTTCATCTCCCTGTGCTTAATCTACCCAGAGTCTTAGCAAGAGGCTTTCCTTAGCTTCCCATGTACTCTGTGGGAACAGCAAGTGGCCTTACCCGTCCTATCCTGGGGGTGGGCAGGTGGGGAGAGCATAGGAAAGGGGAAGGGCTGGATCATAGGTTAAAGGTAGGCTGGGAAGGGCCTCTCCAAACTGTTTACATCTCATTCTCCAGGCAGTGGGGAGTCATCCATCTTTTCAACAGGAGGGAGACATCCCCAGTCTATGCTTTAGATAAAACTACTGGCACTGAGGAGGAGGGACTGAAAGGCAGGGGGCTGGTGGCCTGAACCAGGGCAGAGCAGTGGGAATGAATGGAACTGGGCCGAGTCCCGAGAAACTCAGGAAGTAGAAAGCCCTGAGTTTACTTAGGGTTTTGAATGTGGGAGAGGAGGATGGTAGCGTGTGAAGTTGGTAGCACGGGTGAGTGGGAGGTGCCCTTCTCCAGGACAGAGAATTTTGGCAAAGGATGATGTGCAGATGACGAATCCCAGGCTTGCCATGCTGAGGTGAGTGACTTAGAACAGCCTGTCCAATGGCAGCCACGCGTTCCAGTCAGGACCCAGAGAGAAGGGGCATATGCAGGAATTGGTCATCAAAACACTGCACCTGACAGCAGATGCGGTGATATTATTATCAATAACAATACTAGCACTTACTGAACATTTAACGTTCCAGGCACTGTTCTGGGCACTTCGTGAGTGTGGATTTGTTTAATTCTTTTGAGGCAGGCACTGAAGAGGAAACTGAGGCACAGAGAGGGCTAAGTAACTGGCCCAAAGTTATGCGGCATGTCAATGGAGCACTCAGGGGTTGGTACCCACTCCTCTATTCCCTGTGTGAGAACATCCTGGGAATTGTGAGATGTATGGAAAAGTTAAGAGGACTGAGCCCTGGGGCAGACACAGCTGAAGAAATGAAGTTGGAAACCAAGAGGGTCAGAGGGCAAGCAGTGGGTGTGGGAATCATTTCAAGGAGGTGTTAACTGCATCCAGGGCTGCAAGGGGGCCAGGGAGGAGCATAGGGCCCAGGAGAGGCCCATGGGTTGAAAACACTGGGAGCCACTGGAACAACAGGCAAAAAAGCTGATTGTAGAAGATCAAGGATTAAATGGGGATTGAAGAAGCAGAGGCAGTGCCTGCTGCTTTCTTAGAGCAAGTAGATGAATGGCGAGAGAGAACTAGGGCAAGGGCCTGAGGGCAGGGCAGGGTTGAGGTAGAGTTTCTTAGCAGGGGGCATCCTGTCCTGTTAGTTACTAATAGTTAGATTCCAAGCAGAGAGAGTGGGAGAAAGAAAGAACTGATAGTCTCCTGAAGCAGACAGGAAGGTTAGGCTTGAATGCAAAAGGGACATCTCATCCTCTGAGATGAGCAGAGACAGCAGGGGCCTCAACCAGGACAAGCTGGGGGAGTAGGGGAGTGAGGGGAAGTGACATTGCAATGCATGGAACCTGGTAACCAATAGAATTCAGGGGAAGGGCCAGGTGGACTAAGGTTTCCAGCTGCCAAGCCAGAGGATAAGGAGAAGACTTGGGGAGGAAGGGGATCTGAGTTCAAGTTCACTCTTAGTCTCCGTGGTGAGGTGTCTGAAGGACCTGCAGGTGGAGAGCCTCTGCAGGCAAGCTGTGTCCCAGGGACTGGAGCACAGGAAACAGGCCTGGCCTGGGACCCTGGAGAACTTTCAGCTCAGAGGCAGTGGTGAGTTAGGGAGGTTCCCTGGGGGTCTGGAAGGCAGGAAAGGGGTCTGAGGAAAGCTTCCAGGAAGACAGCCCTGAAAGGAAGAGTTCTTCAGGGCAGAGCATCCATTACAGTGACTGGTTTCATTTGATAACTGTATTAATAATATATTAAATGCTTTTATGAGCACTCAGAGTGGAGTACAAACAGGGACATCGTGTTTGCAGATGCCTTTTCCTGGCCCTGGAAATGCCAAGGTGACAGGGACGATCAGGCAAGTAAGCAGAAAAGTGGCAAGTGACCTGCACTGTGGGCAAGTGTAAAGGAACACACATGACATAAATCCAGATGACCAGCAGGGAGGATAAGTCCTGAACTCTCAGTCACAGTTTCAGGACAGGAGCCAGGCATCAGCATGGAGGCTTGGGCCAGTTCCTCTAGATTAAAAATCTTTAAACTGGGGTTGATGGGATCACCTTCTGGGGTTTCAATCTCCCCCTCCCCCTGCAACTAATGTACTAACAAGTGAAGGAGCACGGGGAGAGATGGGAGAGAGGAGATGGTCAGAGGGGTCTGGGACCCAGTCATGTAACTCCACTCAACACACTAACCTAATGTGGGGTCTCCCCAAGGAGGGTGGGGTTCTGAGGTTTCTCCCCCTCCCCGGTTCCCAATTTGTTGAAGAAACTTACCCTTGACATGCAAATAATGGAAACACATTGGTGTCTGGGTGCTTTGGTTTGTGGTTTTTACCATCAGATCTCTGTGGCTGAGCGTGCTGACTCGTCTCAGCAGAGCTAGCGGGTTGCAAGCCCTCAGAGGTGGAGGGAGAGGGGTTCCTCCTTGGGCTCTGGGCCCAGATGGGCAAGTAGGTCTCTAACACAGGCTTGCCCAGGAGCAGGGCACAGACCCTTCGCGAGAGGTCTGGAGCAGCGCGGGCCGGCTGCTCCTTCACGCTCCTCAGATCCCCTAGGTAGCTCCTCCTCCTATCAAGTGCTTGGTGATCACCGCCTGCCCCACACTACCACCCCCAAAGTGGAGTTTGAAACCAAACCACATGAAAAAAGAATAGTCAAAACTGATTTCCCATTTATTGAACAAGTTCTGTGGAAAATCTCAGGTCTCAGAAGCCCCTGAAAAGGCCATGGATGTTGGAGAGAAGATGGGGAGCGGGCAGGTGATAGCCGACGGTGTGAATGGGCCATCATCTTTGGTTTCCTGACCTCCTTCCCACTACACTATCTCCTCTGACCTCGACATCTTACTTCGTTCCCTTTCCTGAGCCCTGACTCCCAGGGGCCGTCCCTCCCCCACACCTCAGCTGCCCCAGGCGCAGACGTGGGTCCACATTTCCAACCTTCTCGGGGCAATCCTGCTCTTCGGTTCCCCTCGGAACCGAGGTCTGGGGTCTCCCCGCCCCACCCTCTTCTGGATGCGCCTTCCCCGCGCCGCGCCCCGAGCCCGGAGGGGCAGGACGCCCGGCACCCAGCTCTGCCCGGATACCGAGGCCCCTCGCTCGTGCCCTCTTGCCCGCCAGCTGGGGAGTCACGGCGGCTGGCGCGGGGCGGGGGGCGCGGCGGGGATTTCCTGATCTTCACCCGGCGAGCCCCCGCCCCTGCCACCCTGTGGCTTCCTTGCTGCTCCCTCCATTCCCGCTGCCCTCCTCTCCCGACAGGCGTCGGGCATCGGAGAGGGTCGCGGGGCGCCGCCGGCCCCCGCCCCGCCCGCGCCCCGCTCCTCCCCGCGCGGCCCCACTTGTGGCCCCGCCGGAGGCGCGCGAGGACAGCTGCATTTCTCGCCGCCCGCCGCTAGGAAGCCGGCCTCGCCTCGCATTCTCCGCCTCCCGCGCCCCAGCCGCGCCGCCGCCGCCGCGGGATCGCCGCCCCTCCCCCAGCCGCCGGCCCCACCGGCCCGCGGGGCGCGGACGCGCGTGGCGGCTGCTCGGTAAGACCCCCCTCTCGCCCCCGGCCGCGGCCCCCGCCGGCCGCCTCGTGCGCCATCCCGGCCCCGGCCCCGGCCCGGCGGCCCCACCTTCTCGGGCACCGATCGCCCAGGCACCGAAGGGAGGGCCGGGCCGGCGCGAGTTTGATTCCCGGAGCTGCCGCCGCGGCTTCCCGGGAGCCCTGGCCGCCCAGGCGCGTGCGGCGGGTCCCGGCCTCGCTTCCCGGCCGAGCCCCCTCCTCCTACCCGCCGTGGGCGCGCGGGGCGTGCGGGCATGTGGGGACTGGGAGCCGGGCGCGCGGGTCAGGGGTGGGCGCGGGCGCGCTGCGCGGGGCAAGGCGGCAAGGCCTCCCCCGGCGGCGCCGCCCCGAGTCCCTGCTGCGGCCGCTCCCCCTTTTGTGTGGGCGCCCCTCCCCGCTTTGCCCCGGCCTGGGGGCGTTGGCTGGCTCGCGGCGGCTGGCGGGGGCGCCTGCTGGGGGCAGAGCTCCTTTTAGGAGGATGGGAGGTTCGCTTCCTGCCCCCGCCGAGGTTACAGGTCGCCTCAGCCTGGTCGGGTCCCACCCGGTCCCCGGGGAGCAACATCTCCCGCGTCTTGCTGGGGAAAGTTCAGAAAGCGCTGTCCCCGCCCCTGCTCCCCCGCCCCTCCGCGCCCGGTGCCCGGCCGCCGAGCCCTGGGGGGCTGGTGTTCGCCTCAATTCATTCTTGCCTCTGCCTTTCCTCCTTGCACCCTTGCCGGACACCTAGGAGGGGTTTGCCCATTTCTTTTCTCCGTAAAAGAAGTTTTAGCTCCAAGAAATTTATACTGAAATTAAATTCCTGGAGAGGAGTTTGTGTTAGGGGGGAGACGTTTTAGGTTTTTCTTTCCTCCTCTTTTTGGGTGAGAGTGGAGTGTGAAGGGAATGGCTGTGAGTTCAGAAGAAAGTTGTACTAGAGGTGATACAGGGTACAGGAAGCCCATCCTACTCCCCACCTGACCCTCAGGTAGGAGCATCACCAAAGATGCTGGGTGATAGGGTACAGGGAACAGCCTTCCTGTCGGTTAGCCTGCCACACCCTGAACCACCTGGCCCAAGGGAAAGGACTCAGGAAGATTTTCTGGTCTTTCATCTCTTTTCTTTGCCAAGCATGCTCGTCTCTACAGCCTGGGCGGAGTTAGCTAGGTGTGCCTGAAGGTGAGGGACACCAGGAACTCTCTCACGAGGAAGTCATCTCTCACGAGATTTGGCCCCTGTGGGATTATTAAGTGTGAAATCAGGCCCTCTCTGTTGTTGGGGTTGATGCTGTTGGAACCTCAGTGTGAATGGAGGGGGGCATCTCTGGGATGGGGAGAGAAACCTGGTTCTGGTCACCAGGAAGCTGGAGGCTGTGGGCAGGAAGGTTGGGTTTGAAACCCCCTGTCAACTTTCTGCAGCTGGAAGGAGCAGGAGACAAGGGAACAGGAGTGGTGCCTCAGGCCTGGGCACAGCCTTGGATAGGAGAGAGACCTTGGATAGCAAGGATGGCCTAGGGATAAGATGGATGGGGGGAGCCCTGGCCAGTTTGGCTCAGCGGTTGGAGCGTTGGCCTGTGGACCAGAGAGTCCCGGGTTTGGTTCCCACTAGGGGCACGTGCCAAAAAAAAAAAAAAAAAAAGAATGATGGATAGGGGGAATTTGAGGTCCGAGGTTGGGGTCATGGGACCCTTTGGGAATCAAATAAAAACTCTAACTCCTTCCCTACCCCCCAAAACATGCACATGTGCAGGGACACATTCTTTTTTTAAAATCCTCACCCAAGGATATTTTCCCATTAATTATTTTTTAGATAGAGTGGACGGGAAGGAGGGGGGAGAGAAAGAGAGAAACATTGATGTAAGAGAGACACATCAATTGGTTGCCTTCCACACAACCCTGACTGGGGCCTGGGATCAAACCTGCAACCCAGGTACATGCCCTTGACCAGGAATCGAACCCACAGCCTTTTGATCTGCAGGCTGACACTAACTGCTGAGCCAAACCAGCCAGGGCTAGGGACACATTCTGTATGCAATATCAGAAGATACTATACCCCTTGGAAATGGGACCCTATGAAGGCCCCTGATCTAGAGTCTGTGGTTCAGCCTAGGTCATTCAGAACAGTTTCCTCCTTTGTGGCTGGTCAGTGAATAAACCTAGGGTGTGAAGAGTAGACTTCTCAGGTGGTCTTTTCTTCTGACCTTCTGATGCCACTTTAGGTTTACAGCTATGGAGACCTGTAAACTCTGGACCAAATTCCAACTCCCTACAGCTAGCCAGGGGCTGATTTTGCTGTCTATGTGGTGGGAAGGCTCTGGGCACTGGGCGGGTGCCACAGGGCTATTGAATTAGGTAAATATAGGGGTAAGGTAAGGGATGGGTATTCTGGTGTTTCCGTGGTATATAGGAGCCAGATGCTTGAGGAGCTCCTCTCATTCTTGGGGAAAAGGGGTTGAGGTGGGAGAAGGCGCTTTATTAGAAAGTTTAAATGTGAAAGACACTCCTCCTCTAGAGAAGGTCTTGGGGTAGAGTGGTCCAAGACCAGGGTCTACATATTATAGGTTCCTGAGATTCCTCTGAATTTTATTTATTTATTATTATTTTTTCTCCTTCAAAGGTTTTTTTTGGTTAATCCTCACCCAAGGATATTTTTCCATTGATTTTTAGATAGAGTGGAAGGGAGGGAGAGAGAGAAAGACATTGATGTGAGAGAGACACATCGATTGGTTGCCTCCCACATGACCCTAACTGGTGATCAAACCCACAACCTAGGTATGTGCCCTTGACCAAGAATCAATCCTACAACCCTTCAGTCCATGGGCTGGCGCTCTAACCGCTGAGCCAAACCGGTCAGGGCTTCCCTTTGGACTTTAAAAGGCATGTGGGGGCCCTGGCCGGTTTGGCTCAGCGGTTAGAGCGTCAGCCTGCGGTCCTGAGAGACCTGGGTTCGGTTCCCGCTAAGGGCGCGTACCTCGGTTGCAGTTTGTCCCCGGCCCTGGTCGGTTGTGCAGGTGGCAGCCACTCGATGTGTTCCTTTCACATCAATGTTTCTCTCTCTCCCTCTCTCTGTTCCCCTCTCTCCCTCCCACTCTACCTGAACAAAAAATGGAAAAATGTCCTCCGGTGAGGAAAAAAAAAAAAGGCACGTGGGGGCCAGAGAAGATGGCTGTCACCCAGTGCATCTCTGAAAAGGCTTGGCCTGCCTTTTGTTTCTCAGCCAAAGCTCACTGTGCCCTGGTTGCCGCTCAGGTGTTTGTGACATCTACACTTGCTGGGGATCTGGAAGAGCCTTTGGTAGAGTCTGCCATCTACAACTTCTTTGCCTTGGTATTAAGAAGCCCTTCTTAGGCTAAAGTGCCCCCAGACACTGGAAGCTCATGGGGATTTTTCTTTGTTTAAATAGCATCACAGTGTTTGGCGTATAGTGGCAGTCACACTTATTTCTTCCTTCAGAGCTTCCTACATTTACTCTGTCTGATGGATTGATTATTCCCACCCTGGCAATAAGCAACATAGGCAGGAATATTCTAGAGCCTTGGAGGCAGGAAGCTGGAAGTCAGACAGGGATCACCTCTGACTATATACATGGTGGCCTGGAAGAGGTGATGCCTCTGTTTTATTGGCTGTTGCACTCACGGGAAGTAAGAGCCATAAAGGGCCTTGGAAATGCTGTGGTCTAGCAGTCCCTGCCTTGTGGCTTGGATGTTGTCTTGGTGGGATGTAAGGGTCCTGTGGCAGTGACTGAAGATTCACATTCAGGGGCCCAGACTTGTCTGTCTGCTGCTGCCGGGCTGCCACCGGCTGGTGAGTTGAGGATGCTGGTTTGTGCCGGCTCACTCTGCGCTTCTCTGATCCCCTCAACTTCCAGCCTCTCAGACAGTCCTGAAGTCAGAGCAGTCTACGGACTTCTCGCCATGCAGCATTGTTCTTGTCTTTAAAATAGGTCATAATGATAAATACGACACAATGCCTGTCAACATAAACTCCCTTTTCATAAAATGTGACCATTTCATTTTTGTTACGATGGCAGCAAGTGTCTTTGAGGAATGAATGGTGGGAGAAGAAAGTTCCAGCTCCGTTGGTCTAACCTCCACCCCCAGGAGGCAATCCGGCCACTTGTGCCCATTTCCACATAGCTTCGTGGTTTAGAGTATAGGATCAGAAGTTACTCATCCCCAGTCAAAATCCCAACTCTCCGTCTTACTCTGTGACCTTGTAAGTGCCTCAGTTTCTCAGCTCTAAATAGTTAAAGGAGCCCTGGCCAGTTTGGCTCAGTGGTTAGAGCGTCAGCCCGCAGACCAGAGAGTCCCGGGTTCGGTTCCCGCTAAGGGCATGCACCTTGGTTGCAGTTTGTCCCTAGCCCCAGTTGGGGTCATGTTTGTCCCTAGCCCCAGTTGGGGTCATGCAGGAGGCAACCAATTGATGTGTCTCTCTCACATCAATGTTTCTCTCTCTCTCTTCCTCCCTCTCTCCCTCTTGCTCTATCTGAAGATAAATGCAAAAATGTCCTCTGGTGAAGATAAAAAAAAATTAATAATAATAATAAAAAAGAGTTAAAGGAGATATAACATGTATGCCAGACAAAGAGTAAGCATTCTTTTTTTAAAATTGTATCTACTTTTCAATTACAGTTGACATACAATATTATATTATATTATATTATATTATATTATATTAATTTCAGGTACAACATAGTGATTAGACATCTGTATAACTTACAAAGTGGTCTCCCTGGTAAGTCTTGTACCCACCTGACACCATTTATAGTGATCAAAGTATTATTGACTGTATTCTCTGTGCTGTGTTTACATCCTGTGACTAGTTTATAACTGCTAATGAGTACTACTTAGTCCTTTCACCTTTTTCTCTCAGCCCCCAACCCCCTCCCATCTGGCAACCAAGAGTAAACCTTTTTACAGTAGACAACATAATTATTATTATTTTTACTGCACATGGTGCTAATGTTCTGAGCCTCCTTATTGTTAAGGCAAATCGTTGGTAAAAACTGTAG